TATTTCCTGTGTAGACGCAATTTCTATTTATTTGCAAACCTACATTTTCTGAATCCAACACTGTCACTGCAGGGAGTCAACAGTCGGTGTTGTTTCAGCTCCGTGTGGAGAGTAGGTAGTTATCGGGTAGAGCGGATATGTAATTAAATTACAGTAGAAGTTTGAGATTGGGTTTATTGATCATAAACATGGTAATTTATTGTATTTGTGGCACTTTAGACACTCAGGACATTGAGTCCGCACCTTTCCAAACCAGAAAAAACAGGACACTTTTTTTTGTGTCTGGATGCATTTTGTGCGGTCCAAATGGACCAACTCCACTTCTGCTTCAGCTACAAAAAAATGTTTGTGTGACTCAAATTTCAGCCAGTTTTCAGCTGAGGCTACGTCGTAGCCTCCAAAACCCCTTTGGAGAATAGTGTGTGTTCGCACACTGAATCAGACAGCACCCTGCCTATGATTCAGAAAGAGCTAAATGTAGTGTCTTGTTTTTCCTGTGTTTCAAACCAGATGGAACACAATGTTTTGTGAACCCGCCTGCCAAAGCAGGTAAGTACCTCTTGTTTCCGGGTTGATCCATGGAACAACCGGATGGAACAGGGTTGGAACAGCCCAATTCTTGTCTGCCTAGGAGCCGCTAGAAGCCACCAACCTGTTCCACGCTTGTTTTGCTGCTGCATTGAACTGCAAAACCACCTGACCGTGACTCATTGGTTTGGCTACTGTTCAGAGTTGTGCTGCTGCTTTCTGAGCCACTGCTACAAGCTACCTGCAATTGTAAGGGGATATCCTGGCTCCCCTGCTGTTTGCATTAGGATAAGTCAAATGTCTTCAAGAGCTACCTGTAGGATGTGCATACTATGTTTCCATGGAACAGAAACCAACTGGCTGGGTCGGACTCCAGAACGGACCAATCCTCTGACATGGTTCGGAGCTCGTCTGCCCTGCTTTGTGTTTCCTGGACGGGCCACATGTGGAGCTGGTTTGTTGCCTGTTGTGTCTCTAGTTCTTTCTGTATGTCTTCTTTTGTCTCCTTGAACCCCAGTTGGCCTTGGCAGATGGGCAGTCACGCTCAGCCTGGTTCTGATGGAGATATTTTCCTGTTAAAAGGGAGTTTTTCCTCTCCACTGTTGCCACAAGAATGTTTAGTGTGAGTTATTGCCTTTGAGTCAATGAGTTGATGAAATCAGCTGGTTTTCCTTAAATAGAACAGTTTGAGTCAATTTGACTGTATGATATGGTTGGATTGTAAAGTGCCTTTAGATGACGTGTTGTGAATTGGCGCTATAGAAATAAAGTGAACTGAACTGAAATTGATTTGAATCCCCCGCGCCCCCATTATACTGAGCCAAAAAGTAAACATTGTTTCCCCTCTTTCGTTGCTTGGGCAAAAGATAGGTAGAATAGATTTTTACCTGTGTTTTTGTGTTTTATCTGTATGTGGCTACACGGTGGCACAGTTTGTACCACAAGACGGTTCTCATTTTGATTCCCGGCCCTGTGTCTTTCTGCATGGAGTTTGCTAGTTCTCCCCATGCATGCCTGGGTCCGTTCTGGTGCTCCGACTTCCTCAAACAGTCCAAAAACATGACTGTTTGGCATTTCCAATTTGTCCTTAGGTGTGTGAGGATGGTTGGATATCTTTGTGTTGCCCTGCGACAGATAGGCCTCCTGTCCAGCATGTGCCCCACATCTCGCCCATAGACTGGTGGAAACAGGCACCAGCCCCTAGCCTCGTGAGACCATCCTGATCTCGC